TGTGGCCTCTCCCGTTGCAGAGCACAGGCTCCAGACGCGCAGGCTCAGCGGCCATGGCTCACGGGCCCAGCCGCTCCAAGGCATGTGGGATCTTTCCGGACCGGGGCACGAACCCGTGTCCCCTGCATCGGCAGGCGGACTCTCAACCACTGCGCCACCAGGGAAGCCCCTTTAATTTTGTTTCTTATCTCAGAAGTCTCTTTCAAGAATTATCTATTGGTTAGAGAAGATCTGGAGTTCAGTAATCCCCTTATTTTCCCTTCAGTTTTTAGTTATGTTACATTTACAGCTATTTATTTATTGATATTTATTGATATTTTTATTTTGGAATAGAAAGTAAAGTGTTAATTTTCAAAGATTAAAAAAAAACTATGTTTATTGAAGATGATATGATCTTGGAAAACCTCAAAGAATTAATTAAAAAACAAACTCAAACAAAAAAGAACTTAGCAAGATAGCAGGATATAAAGTTAATATGCAAAACCCAATGGCCTTCAGATACATAAATAATGACCAGTTAGAAGATAAGATGGAAGAGAAAACTCCATTTAAAATGGCAACAAAAAAAGATAAAATACTTAAGAAACAAGAAATACAAAAATTTTATATGAAGAAAACTTTATAGTTTTCCGGAAAACTTAGAGTTTGCTGGAAAAACATAAAAGTATGTTTGAGCAAATGGAAAGACATCCCTTGTTCTTGAATAGAATGTTTCATCATCAAGATATCAGGTCTATATTAATTTAAAATTTTAATACAATCTCAATAAAAAAAATAGCACCTGGATTTTTTTTCTGGAATTTGAAAAGTCAGTTGTCAACTTGGAGCAAAACTGTGACTTAAGGAAGAAAGCTGTATTTGGCATTCCTCTCAGAAATGAACTCGCCACCACTGAGCCAGTCCTATTCACCTCTAGCAGATTTGCTGCCATGTGGGTTGCTAAATCAGCCAGTTTCCAAAAGAAGCTGGAAATCTCAATTTGCATGTGACCTTTTACACGTGAATATGTTGACAACTAATTTAAATTAAAAATAAAATACAGGTTAGGCAAAATAAAATATACCTTGCAGGTCATATCTAGACCACAGGCGGTCAGTTTTTGATCTGTTGGAAGTTGGCAAACTTTTTCTGTAAAGCGTCAGATGGTAAATATTTCAGGCTTTGTAGGCTACATACAGCCTCTGTTGCATACTCCTATTTTTACATCATTAAAAATGTGTATAAAAGGCATTCTTAGCTCAAAGGCTGTAAAAAAACAGGCCTTGGATTTGGCGCTCAGGGTGGCAGTTTGCCATTCTTGGTTAATAGAAATCATTAGCCTTGAGATTCAATGAATACTTTCAAAGATAGCCATATTACCTGAACTCTCTTACAAATAATTTTTAAAAAGTCAAGCTGGGATAAACATAATATAAATTCACTGCAGTGGACATCTCATAATGCAGTACATTTCCCTCCTGATATTCAGGAAGCACATCCTGAAAGGGAGTTTATGTATAATTTTAAGACACCTTCCCCCCATCTGTCACAATGTAACTGCTCTTACAAATGATGCCATATTAGCTGGAAAATGCTTTCTATTTTACTCCAATCATGTTCGCAAAAAAAAAAAAAAAAAAAAAAAAAAAAAGCCCCAGTATTATCGGGTTTACAATTTAGATCTTTCTGCTCAGGAATTATTAGGGTGGTTCTTGCTTCTTGGCTGTCAGCTGTACACATTTCCTTTTCTAATCCCTTAGAATCATGTTTGATAAAGTTTAGGATAATAGCACCTATTTCTGAGACAGACCAAGAACTTTATAATCCTATTAGACTAATGATGCGGCAAATATCAGAGGAAAAGTCATATCCAATTCATCCTTATGGATTGCTTTGGTCCTGGCCCAACCTCAGAAGTGACATTTCAGTGATCTGACCTGGCCCTGAACCATTGTGAAACTTACTAGGAAACTGTAAAATCTTTTCTAGAATCCTTTAAAAATAAGACAGGTAGTGAGATTTTAAAAATAACTACATGTGAAGAAGATTGATAAGATGGAAATCAGCTCTCAAATACCTTTTAAAAACACTTCACAGTTCATTGAAACGATACTGGGAGTATCAATTATAACATTTACTGAATCAAATTTGATCCTGGATCACTAGTCATTTGACTCTAGGTCTACCTAAGTTGCCCTCAGTCTTCAGATCAATTACAAAACCAACCCAGGGCGAAGGATTACCTAGAGTTTGGCTGGACCAATGCCCCTGGGCTTCTTAATCAGTATCTCTAATTACAGGGCAGAGCAAGCTCAAAAGCAGCTCTTCAAGATGAAGAACAGCTGATGTGCTGGAATAGGCAAAAGCCAACTTAGTAGTGAGCCAGCTGTTAACATCACTAAGATTAAATTACATAAACTATGATGAACTATATTACATGAAAAACAATGGTACTGGGCTTCCCTGGTGGCGCGGTGGTTGGGAGTCCGCCTGCCGATGCAGGGGGCGCGGGTTCGTGCCCCGGTCCGGGAGGATCCCATGTGACGCGGAGCAGCTGGGCCCGTGGGCCATGGCCGCTGAGACTGCGCGTCCGGAGCCTGTGCTCCGCAACAGGAGAGGCCGCAGCGGTGAGGGGCCCGCGTACCGCAAAAACAAAAAACAAAAAAAAAACAATGGTACTAAAACTAAAAACTCATCACTCCCTAATTATTTTACATTTTACCATTATCTGTGCTCTTGAGATTTACATCTATTGTATATGCACGGTAGAAATACTACACAACAGTGTGCTACTGAGCATCTTGCCCCAACCCTGCACTGTCATCATGTTGGTAATCTGAAATTGACTATGCTGGGAGTATTTATACCACACAGATAGGCAAATACTATAAACCAGGCCCCACTCCACTTTCCAAAGAGTCAGTTTAGTTAAACATCCACCAGCACATTTCTGGCTTAGGAGGATACCACAACCTCTAAATAGCTCATGAACAGACTCCATCTCAATCATTCTTGTGCTAGACCCATAAAATATTCAAAAAAACTTTTTGAAGTTGTCTAAATATTTATGAAATAGAATCTTTTAAGGGATCATTAGAAATGGATTTCTTTTTGAACATACAACATACCTTCTCTCTGAACAAGGAAGCATCTTTTAATTTTTAAAATTATTTTTGGCCACACTGAGTAGCTTGTGGGATCTTTTTTTTTAAATTAATTAATTTTATTTATTCATTTTTTTTTTGGCTGCGTTGGGTTTTCGTTGCTGCATGCGGGCTTTCTCTAGTTGAGGCGAGCAGGGGCTACTCTTCGTTGCGGTGTGTGGGCTTCTCACTGTGGTGGCTTCTCTTGTTGCGGAGCACAGGCTCTAGGCGCACAGGCTTCAGTAGTTCTGGCATGCAGGCTCAATAGCTATGGCTCGTGGGCTCTAGAGCACAGGCTCAGCAGTTGTGGCGCGCAGGCTTAGTTGCCCAGTGGCATGTGGGATCTTCCCCGACCAGGGCTCAAATCCGTGTCCCCTGCATTGGCAGGTGGATTCTTAACCACTGCACCACCATGGAAGCCCTAGCTTGTGGGATCCTAGTTCCCCGACTAGGGATAAACCTGGGCCCCTGGCAGTGAGAGCGCGAAGTCCTAACCGCTGGACTGCCAGGGAATTCCCAGAAGCACCTTTTCTAATAAATAGCAAACTGGGTCTGAGAAATCGTGGAATTCCCATTAGTGTATTAGGGAAAGGCTTACGATGGGTTATTTTTATTTTTTGTCCTTTGTCTCTCACCTCAAATACTTTCTCCTGTGAGAAGAGCTATTGCCCGAAGGCAACAAAGACTGGCCTTGAGAACAAACAAAGTTGGACCAATAAGCTCCTGCCCACATCCAGGAAGTGATTAAGTAGGTCTAGGGCAAGTCCATGCAATACAAAGACCAGATTCACTAACAAACGGCATGAAAACCATCTGGGTCATTTCAGACATACGGAGTACCTCATTCAAGTTACTCAAAAGAATATCAAAATTGGACAGTGTGAAAAAAAATTAAGGCATATGTGTAACGGGCATTACACACATTAGTTTTTTTTTTAAGGCATTTTTTAAAATTAATTTTATTTATTTAGTTTTGGCTGTGTTGGGTCTTTGTTGCTGTCGCAGGCTTTCTCTAGTTGTGGCAAGCAGGGGCTACTCTTCCTTGTGGTGCAGGCTTCTCATTGTGGTGGCTTCTCTTGTTGCGAAGCACAGGCTCGAGGAACGCAGGCTTCAGTAGTTGCAGCACGCAGGCTCAGTAGTTGTGGCTCGCAGGCTCAGTAGTTGTGGCACGTGGGCTTAGTTGCTCTGCGGCATGTGGGATCTTCCCAGACCAGGGATCGAACCCGTGTCCCCTGCATTGGCAGGCGGATTCTTAACCACTGTGCCACCAGGGAAGCCCCCACACATTAGTTTTGATTTTTCTTTTAAGTTTGTCTTGGAGTGCCTGCAAATACGCTAAATGCCTAAGCTGAACTGGAAAAAGATATATACACAGGGCATACATTATTTTTAACCTCCTCTTTTTTAGGTAGTTGAAAAAAAAAATCCCTGAACTCTTGCTGGTTATGTGTGCTATACTAACACCACTATATCATCTTATAGAAAGTGCATAAATCAGGACAAAGGGCCACGTGCTTGTTCTTTACAGTAGAAAGGCATCAAACATTCAAAAGAAAGTAGTTTTCATGTCTGAGGAATTACTACCTAACTCCAAGTTTGAGGAACACCAACTTTCTGTATTTTTTCCTGTGGGAAATTTGCAAATATGATGCTATACACTGAAAATCACTCACTCACATTTTTCCACTAAATACTGAGAAATAGTAAAGCAGCCATTAGAGTTTTTAAGGTTATTTCCAAGCATGTATGTATGGGTGTATAGGTATAATACAGCCTTCAAAATTACCCTTAGTTCTTAATATTTAATATTTGAGAGAAACTAAAAAATGTTATCATGTTATGGGCTTTAATCTATAAAAAATTATTGGTAAAACTAACAGGTGGATGACTTTACTTGCATTCTCCTACTCTAATGAGCACTGAGAGAACATGGCTATTATTCTGCTTTTGACTGATCAAAAAGAGTGCAAAACATCTACACTTTATACTTTATTTAAAATTAATAAAACAAACACAGTTATAGGTAAATGAAAATTCAGTACATTTAGCTGGATAATATAAAAATTTACATATTCACAAGCACATAGCTCCTTCACTGACACCAAATATTTTAATCTATGTAGTCAAAGTCTTCTGGAATTCCAAAATTTTTATCAATTTTATTTTCTTCAAGCCCAAATTTTCTTTTGGCCCAAGATTTTATTGCAAAAATGTTATCTATAAAGAAAATTGAGAAATATTTTTGAGAATTGAAAATATAATCACAAAACATTTCAAATATAATTACATTCAGCTTTTTTTTTACTTCTATTACTTTTAGAAGTATCAAAATAAGGAGTTTTCTGTATTTTCAAGAGTAGCAGCAATTAACTTCAGAAGAAAGAAAAGATTTAATGATTATTTTGAATAAACAGATTTCATATTAAAAAATTCAGTAGGGGGCTTCCCTGGTGGCACAGTGGTTGAGAGTCTGCCTGCCGATGCAGGGGACACGGGTTCGTGCCCCGGTCCGGGAAGATCCCACACGCCGCAGAGCAGCTAGGCCCGTGAGCCATGGTCACTGAGCCTGCGCGTCCGGAGCCTGTGCTCCGCAACGGGAGAGGCCACAGCAGTGAGAGGCCCGTGTACCGCAAAAAAAGAAATTCAGTAAATTAGTTGCCACTAAAGAATACCCGACTTAAAGAATAATTCAAAGCCAGGGAGAGGTTAATGGTGCCTCTTCCACATTTCCACAGCAAAGGCAGGATTCTGTTACCTCAGGAATTAGAGTTGCTCCTGTTCCCAAATGGAACCCCTTTCCCTCCCCCACAGAGAGAATGGCTTCCAGACAATCAGGCCAGGGAGAAGGGGTGAGGAGGAAGGAAGGGATTCTCTTAAGACTAAAAGAGGAACAGATATATCCTGAATGTCTTCTAGGGAATTTAAATGCAGTTTACCACTGAAAAAAGTGTTACATCTATATAAAGGGATTTATCCCAAGGAAATAAATTGTGTACAAAGATTTATGAGCAAATCTTCATCCCAGTGTACCAAAAGAAAAAAATAAAAGCAATCAAAAAATCTAGAAACTATAAATGCTGGAGAGGGTGTGGAGAAAAGGGAACACTCTTGCACTGCTGGTGGGAATGTGAATTGGTACAGCCACTATGGAGAACAGTATGGAGGTTCCTTAAAAAACTATAAATAGAAAGACCATACGACCCAGCAATCCCACTACCGGGCATATACCCTGAGAAAACCATAATTCAAAAAGAGTCATGTACCAAAATGTTCATTGCAGCTCTATTTACAATAGCCAGGACATGGAAGCAACCTAAGTGCCCATCAACAGATGAATGGATAAAGAAGATGTGGCACATATATACAATGGAATATTACTCAGCCATAAAAAGAAACGAAATTATTTGTAGTGAGGTGGACGCACCTAGAGTGTCATACAGAGTGAAGTAAGTCAGAAAGAGAAAGACAAATACCGTATGCTAACACATATATATGGAATCTAAGAAAAAAAAATGTCATGAAGAACCTAAGGGTAAGACAGGAATAAAGACACAGACCTACTAGAGAATGGACTTGAGGATATGGGGAAGGGTAAGGGTAAGCTGTGACAAAGTGAGAGAGTGGCATGGACATATTTACACTACCAAATGTAAGGTAGATAGCTAGTGGGAAGCAGCCGCATAGCACAGGGAGATCAGCTCAGTGCTCTGTGACCACCTAGAGGGGTGGGATAGGGAGGGTGCAGGGGAGGGAGACGCAAGAGAGAAGAGATATGGGAACATATGTATATGTATAACTGATTCACTTTGTTATAAAGCAGAAACTAACACACCATTGTAAAGCAATTATACTCCAAGAAAGATGTAAAAAAAAAGCAATCTAAATGTCTAATCAAGTAGAAGGGTGTCAATGCATAGGCAATGAAGGATGCAAGGCAGTACCAACGTGCTCACAATGGCTGCACTGAGGGAATGGGAATGATGGTGAGTTTTCTTTTTTTAATTTTACACATTCTCTTTAATGTACATATACCATCTTTATAATGAATATGTATTATAAATACAGAAAAGTAATGGTGTACAGTTTTCTGGTTCAGAGTATTCTATAAAACATTAAGCACCGTGTTAGTTGTGATAATGAAATAAGGGTTAAAGTAGGTTCTTTTGGAGTGTTATTGGCCGAATTATCACCTCCCCCTAATTCATATGTTGTAGTCCTAAACCCCACTACCTCAGAATATGATTGTACTTGGAAATTGGGTCTTTAAAGAGGTGATTAAGTTAAAATGAGCCCACTGGGGTGGGCCCTAATCCAATCTAACTGGTGTCCTTACAAGAAAAGGAAATGTGGATACACTGAGACACCAGGGCCAGGCATTGGAAAGACTCTGTCAGGACACAAGGAGAAGAAGCCAAGGAGAGAGAGGCCTCAGAAAAAACCAAGCCTGCCTACACCTTGAGTTTGGACTTCCACCCTCCAGAACTGTGAGAAAATCAATTTCTTTATTTACGCCACCTGCTCTGAAGTATATTGTTATGGTACCATTAGGAAATTAATATATGAAGTTCAGTCACTCTTAAAAATATTGTTTTAGGAATTTTAATTCCAAGTATCAAATATTGATAACTAAATGTTTGGAACGAAGTTCACTGCTGAGGTGAATACTACTATATCAAATAGAATAATGTTAACAAAATGTCCTCATTTCTTTAAATAAAGAGTTATAGGATATCAACAGATATTAAAATAAATCTTTATGTAATGATCTAAACCAAATCTCTACTTTTCATAAGAACCTAAGAGAGAATACAAATAGCATGAGGTACTCTAGAATAATCTGTTTAATTTGATTAGTGTCTGCACAACCTGTGCAATCTTGACAGTCACAACCAAATACTTATAGAGGGCCCATTGCTACGTAAGACAGCTATTAAGTGTATTACAGGTATTCCAGAACATAAAGAGCCTATGCCTTCAAACTGACACAAGAGTAGAGAGAGAAAAATCAATTTGTCACCAAACAATTCCAAAGTGATATGTATGTTAGAGAGAAAAGATCAAGTGTTATGTGTAGAGCTTGTACAATAGGCTCCAAGAATACAGAAAGATTTCCAGAAAACAAGAGGACAGATGCAACGCTGTAGGAGCCTTGGAGGAATGTATTTCAACCCGGGAACAGGAGAGAAGAAAACGAGGCACCATAGTAAGACTAGAGCCTCTGCAGGAAGGAGTTCCTGGTTCATGTGAGGGCAAGAAACCATTTTATTATAAACCTTCAAAGATTAAGAACAAACAAAAGAATAAACAAGTAAAAAGCCTCTGTATACAATGCTTAATGGACCAATTCAAAAAGACTCTGATTAAATATGTCCTTGGGCCACTCAATGTCTGCCTTCAAGACAAAGTCACCCGCAATCTTGATAGTTCATCCCTGTCAATTAATTTTTCTATTATGTGGAAATGTTTATGAATGGATAAAAAAATACTTTTATTTTTAAAGAAACAACCTTAAGACTGGTAGAATTCATATTAATTTATATGGTGGCAAACCCAAGATATATACAGGAATAGGATGGGCAATATCACATGCATGAGTCTATGTTAGAACCTCACAACATCTTTCCCCCCTCACTCATTTAGATGCCGCTCATACAAAGTCGTAAAAACTCCACTATCTTAGTTATTAGGCAAGGTTTTATATAATTTGATAAATCACTTTTAAAGTTACCTAATGTCACAAAACATTTAGATACTATATTTCTAGTTATATTTATACCCTGAGGTGACTTCTCATTCTATAAAATTGAAATACTGAACTACTGAACAGTAAGTATGCTCAATTTAAAATACATTTTAGGGACCTTTTCAGTATAAAGAAACCAAATCTTAACTAATAATTATATAACGATCTTTAGTTATAAGTATTATTGATGTTTTCTTTTTCTTTGTTTTGAAAACAGGAAGGTTTTCTGGGGTGTAATTCGTTTTAACTCCATGATTTTTTCATAACACTTTTATGTTGGAAGGAGCAAGTTGTAAACTCAAATGGAAATACGTTTTTTTGTTTGTTTGTTTTTGCGGTACGCGGGCTTCTCACTGTTGTGGCCTCTCCCGTTGCGGAGCACAGGCTCCGGACACGCAGGCTCAGCGGCCGTGGCTCACGGGCCCAGCCGCTCCGCGGCATGTGGGATCCCCCCGGACCGGGGCACGAACCCGTGTGCCCTGCATTGGCAGGTGGACTCTCAACCACTGCGCCACCAGGGAAGCCCCCGGAAATATGGTTCTTAACAGCTGTTTCTACTGTTCTGAAAATATTATCATCCTTCCCGTATGATTTTAAAAGTTTCAGGTTCTTTCTCAGCTAATAACACAAGGGAAAAAAAAGTTGTTCACATTTTTTTAATTATAATTTTTGAAGTTTATGATCAACTGGAAAACATGAAAGGATTTTTTTAAGAGACAGGGAAAAGGGGAGTATTTGTTTATCAATGTGTCTAATGGTGTGCTAAACGGCTTACAAACTGTTTTATTTAATCCTTCCAAAATGTGAGGTAGATATTATCCACATTGAACAGATGAAGAAGCAGGGTCAGAGAGGTTCAATAAATCACATAGCAAATAAGGAGAACAACCTGGATTCCTTTGAAAGCCAAGTTCCTCCCACTATATACACAGGCTGCCTGTGCCTACTGTTTGCTGAGCTGCTTTGTTAATTAGGGGAAATCATTTTGTGACTCTTGTCTTATTTTTAATCTAAAAATCCACTTGCCTTTTTACTTACTCAAAATTTTATATTTCTCAAACCTATATGATATCACTGTATTTATTATTTATTTATACTTTATTGGACACACATTTCATTATTCTCTTTTATTTAATGTTAGTTTGCTGTTTTTACCCTCCTCTGTTCTTATCACTAAAGCATTACACTATTTAGGAAATAACTTTGTAATAAATAAGACTGCAATTTTATAGGGACCAAAGGCCAGTTATATTGATTTTATCAGTGTACTTAATTCTAAAATAGACAAGGAAAAACGATTCTTAAGTTTTCTGTGAAATACAGAGGTCTGGACATGGAATCAGGGAAATCTGGCTCTAATCCCTGTTCTTCCAGTGACTAATCACCTTTGACTTAAGGCAGCTACTTCAAGCTTTCTGCATCTCTGTGTCAATGCAATCTTATCCATGCTGTCCCACGGAAACAGAATAAGTGTAACACATATAAAGGCATTAAAGACTCTTACCAGGATGGAAAGGTTCAATTACCATTATTTCATAATTAAATACTGAAAAAACATCAGTGTAACTTCCAGACAGGTTTTAACAATAATAATCATACTTGTATATAATTCATAACAATCATTATTTATTAATGTTCTTCTAAATTTTAAGACACATAGATAATGCCTCATTAGTTCCCATTTCTTAGTATATACCTGGTATAGACCAGAGGGTGTATCCATTGGCAAATGGATTAATGAGGCATTTACATGAAAGCAGGTACACAGAGAAGACTACCCCGTGTGGTGGGTGAGAGCTTGGACTCTGAAATCTAATTCCTGTTCCACTGCCTAGCACCTGTGTGACTGTGGGTTCCTAGTGGCCTCAGTTTCATCTCTAAAATTAGGGATAATAATCCTATCTACCTCATAAGATTGTTGTGGAGATAAAATGAGAATGCAGCACAGACATGCTTTATAATGCCTGGCTCATAATCAGCCCTTGACAAATGTTTGCAATTATTATTATGAGCAAGAAGACAAATCTTTAGGGTTGCATGAAACGCTTAAAAGTTGTATCTTGCATTAATATATAAGAAGGTTAAGTGATTAGCCCAAGTGATTTATCTGGGAAAAGTTACACAAAACTTAAAATAATCATTGGTTTTACAAAAATGCCTTACACTTTACAAAATGACTCATAATAAGATTTTAAAAATTCCTCAAGTAAATGAAATGATTTAAGATATAAAAACTTGGTTAATACATACACTTTCAGAAACGTCTTTTCTTGAACTTAACCAGGCACAATAGTTCCTGCATTTCACATCATAGTAAGTGTACAAGAGTTTTACTAGTTTATCAGTGCCACTGTAATACATACCAGTCCATCTGTTAGCAGCTTCTTTGGCCACTTCATTTGCTTGACCTGAAAAAAACCCAACCATATATATATAGATTCATCCTTTTCGGAAAAAAAAGCTCAAATAGTGACACTGTATCTCACAAACCTGCTCAACTTCCCAAGGAAATTTTAGATAGTTGCAGTTATCTTAGTCATGGATAGAAAGTCAATGTGAACAATTTCCCTTTCCTAAATGTCCACTATTATGGTACTTCCTCTTTAAAAACATGTTTAACCGAGATGTTTCTCAAATAATTTACACCAGAAGAAGATAAAATAATTTAAGTTTAATGATAAGCATTTTAGTGTATACATATTAGACAACAATAAACTTGACAATATAATTTTAATGGCCATACAGTAGCCCTGAAGGAGGAAATATTTACTTTATAAATTATACTTCTTGCTATTAAATGTTATCTGTATCTATATGATGTCGTTCAAGTTAATCTACACAGCACATAACAATGCCATGATCACCTGGGCGTAAATAGTATTCATAATGATAGCATTTATTTATTTATTGAAATACAAGTTATATACCAAAGAATTCACCATATTAAAGTGTATTATTCAGCGGTTTTTAGTATATTTACAAGGTTGTACAACTATCACCACTACCTAATTCCAGAACATTCTCATCACCCAAAAGGAAATCCCATACCCATTAGGAGTCACTCCACTTCCCCTTACCCCCAGCCCCTGGAGACCACTTACCTACTTTCTGTCTCTATGGATTTGCCTATTCTGGACATTTCATATAAATGAAATCATATATGTCTGGCTTCTTTTCACTTGGCACAATGTTTTCAAGGTTTGTCAACTGTAGCATGTATAAATACTTCATTCCTTTTTACTGCCAAATAATATTCCATTGTATGGATACACCACATTTCGCTTAGTCACTCACCAGTTGATGGACATTTGGGCTGTTATTACTAATATGAATAATTTAACAATTTTTGTGTGAACATGTTTTCAATTCTTTTGGGTACATACCTAGGGGTGGAATTGCCGGCTCAAATGGTAACTATACATACAACATTTTGGGGAACAGATAACTTGTTTTCCAAAGTGGCTGCATCAACACACCATTATAAAGCAATTATACTCCAATAAAGATGTTCAAAAACAAAAACAAAACCAAAAAAAGTGGCTGCATCATTTTCACAATCCCACCAGCAATCTAAGAGTTCCAACTTCTCCACATCCCCACCAATAATTATTTTGCCTTCTTTTTATTATAGCCATCCTAATGGGTATCTCATTGAGTTGCGATTTGCATTTCCCTAATGACTAATGATGTTGAGCATCCTTCCATATGCTCATTGGCCATTTGTATATTTTCCTTGGAAAAATGTCTATTCAAATCCTTTGTCTGTGTTTAAATTTTTTTTATTGTTGAGTCATAAGTGTTTTTTTAATGTGTATTTTTGATATTGGACACTCGTCAGATACAGGATTTGCGATTATTTTCTCCCATTCTGTGGGTTTTCTTTCCACTTTCTTGACAATGTACTTTGACACACAAAAGTTGTTAATTTTGATGAAGTCAAATTTATCTACTTTTTCTTTGGTTGCTTGAGCTTTTGATGTCATATCTAAGAAAACTAGGCTACAGAGACACACATCTATGTTTTTTTCTAAGAGTTTTATAGATTTAGCTCTTACGTTTAGGTCTCTGCTCTACTTGAGTTAATTTTTGTATACAGTGTGAGGTGGGAGGCCGGGTTGATTCATTTGCATGTGGATAACCAGTTGTGCCCAGCGTCCTTGGTTGAAAACACTATTTTGTTCTGATTAAATGGCCTTGGTACCCTTGCTCAAAACCTTGTTTACTTCTGGACGCTCAATTCCATTTCATTAACCTGTATGTCTATTCTTATACCAGTACCAAATTGCCTTGATTACTCAAGTTTTGTAGTAAGTTTTGAAATTGGGAAATTTGAGTCTTCCAACTTTTTTTTTCCCCAAGGTTCTTTTGGCTGCTCTGGGTCCCCTGCATTTTCATATGAATTTTAGGACTAATATCAATTTCTGCAGAAAAGAAATTGGAATTTTGGAGGTTTTACAGTTAATCTATAGACCAGTTGGGGGGTACTTCCACCATGACAACATTTAGGTCATTCAATTCATGAACACGGGATGTCTTTCTATTTATATAAGTCTTTAATTTCATTGAATGTTTTTTACTTTTCAGTACAAGTCTTGCACTTCTTTGATTAATTTTACTCCTAAGTATTTTACTCATTTTGATGCTACTGTAAGTGGAATTCTCTCTTAATTTCATTTTCAGGCTGTTTATTGATAGTTTATAAAATACAATCGTTTTTTATATATTGATTTTCTATCTTGCAATCAGCTGACCTCATTTGTAAACTCTAATAGTTGTATTTTGCTGTTGTTGTTTTGTGGATTGTTTAGGGGTATCTATCTATCTAAGATCATGTCAACTGCAAATAGAGATAGTTTTCTTTTTTCCTTTTCAATATGGATGCTTTTTATTTCTCTTTCTTACCTAACTGCCCTGGCTTGAATTTCCAGTAGTGTTGAACAGAAGAGGTGAGAGTGGACATCCTTGGGGAAAGCATACAGCATTTCACCATTCAATGTGTTAGCTGTTCTATTTACAGTAGGCAGGACATGGAAGCAACCTAAGTGTCTATTGACAGATGAATGTTTAAAGAAGATGTGGAATATTACTCAGCCATAGAAAGAAACGAAATTGAGTTATTTGCAGTGAGATGGATGGACCTAGAGATTGTCATACAGAGTGAAGTAAGTCAGAAAGAGAAAAATAAATACTGTATGCTAACACATATATATGGAATCTAAAAAAAAAAAGGTTCTGAAGAACCTTGGGGCAGGACAGGAATAAAGACGCAGACATAGAGCATGGATTTGGGGACACGAGGAGGGGAAAGCGTAAGCTGCGACGAAGTGAGAGAGTGGCATGGACTTATATACACTACCAAATGTAAAATATATAGCTAGTGGGAAGCAGCCACATAGCGCAGGGAGATCAGCTCTGTACTTTGTGACCAAGACGGGTGGGATAGGGAGGGTGGGAGGGAGACGCAAGAAGGAGGAGATATGGGGATATACATATATGTATAGCTGATTCACTTTGTTATAAAGCAGAAACTAACACACTATTGTAAAGCAATTATACACCAATAAAGATGTTAAAAAAAAAAGTTAGATGTTCATTTTTTTTTTGGCTACACCACATGGCACATGGAATCTTAATTCCCCAACCAGGGATGGAACCTGTGCCCCCGGCATTGGAAGCGCAGAGTCTTAACCACTGGGCCGCCAGGGAAGTCCCAACTGTGCATTTTTTACAGATACACTTTTTTTGTTTGTTTCTTTTTGTGGTACGCAGGCCTCTCACTGTTATGGCCTCTCCCATTGCGGAGCGCAGGCTCCGGACGCGCAGGCTCAGCGGCCACGGCTCACGGGCTCAGCCGCTCTGCGGCATGCGGGATCTTCCCGGACCGGGGCACGAACCCATGTCCCCTGCATCGGCAGGCGGACTCTCAACCACTGCGCTACCAGGGAAGCCCACAGATACACTCTTATTAGACTGAGGAAGTTCACTTCTTTTCCCAGTTTGTTGAGTGTTTTTATTACTAAAGGGTGTTGGATTTTATCAAATACTTTGTTTATTGAGACAATTACGTGGGGTTACATCCACGTTTATTCTATAAATAGGTTGCATTAGATTGATTTTTGTACGTTGAACCAACCTTTCATCCCTGAGATAAATGTCACTTAATCAGGGTGTATAATCCTTTTTATATACTGCTGGATTTGATTTGCTAGAACTTTGTTGAGAATACTTACATCTATATTTGTAAGCAATACTTAACTATAGCTTTTTTTTCTTACGAAGTCTTTGGTTTGGGTATCAAGGTAATACTGACTTCAAAGAATGAGTTAGGAAGTGTTCTCTCTTTTCTAATTTTTTTTTAATTGAAAAGTTACTTCTTTAAACTGACAGAATTCACCAGTGTAGACTTGGCTTTTCATTGTAAGAAGTTTTTAATTTCTAACTCAGTCTCTTAACATGTTATACATCTATTTACAGCGTTCATTTCTGCTTGAGATAGTTTTGGTAACTTGTATCTTTCTAGAAATTTGTTCACTTCATATAACTTATCAAATTCATTGACATACCACTGCTCATAGTATTCCTTTATAGTCCTCTTTCTATCTGTAAGGTCAACAATGATCCTTCTAATTCATTCCTGATTTTAGTAATTTGAATCTTCCTTTTTTCCTGGCCAGTCTAGCCAAAGTTTGCCAATTTTGTTGATCTGCTTAAAGAACCAACTTTTGGTTTTATTGACTTTCTCTTGTTTTTCGATTCTCTAGCTCTTTTATTTTTGTTCTAGTCATTTTATTTCCTTTCTTATATCTGCTTTGGGTTTAGTTTGCTCTTCTTTTCCTAGTTTCTTAAGATAGAAGTCTAAGTTTCTGTATTGAAAGTTCTCTCTATTTTTCAACATAGGCATTAAAATATTAATAAATTTCCCACTGAGCAATGCCTTCATTGCACCCAATAAGTTTTTGTATGTTTTCATTTTCACTATCTCATAGTATATCCTAATTTCCCTTGTGATTTTGTTTGAGCCATCCCTTTTGGGAGTGTGTTGATTAATTTCAACATATTTGTGAATTTCCCAAATTTCCTTCCGTAATTTATCTCATAACATTCCATTCTCATCAGAAAACATACTTTGTATTATCAATCCATTTAAATTTATTGGGACTTAAGCTTAATATGTGGTCCACCTTGAAAAATATTTCATGTGCACTTGAGAAGAATGTGTCCCCTGCTGTTGTTGAATGTTCTATAGAGATTTAGTTGGTTTGTAGCTTTAAGTCTTCTAATTTCTTGCTTATGTTCCATCTTGCTATTCCATTCTTTATTCAAAATGGAGTATTTAAATTTTAAACTATTATTGTTGAATTGTCTATCCCTTCAATTCTTTTGGTTTTTGCTTATGTATTTTGGTTCT